CTGAAAAATGAAGTGCTTTGACAGAAGCAGGAACTATTGGAGGCCCATGAAGACGTGGCAGTGCTCCTAACCTTTCTTTTGTTTCTTACCATTTCCTTTTGAATGTAAGCAGTGCAAAATGGAAGAAGTAAAGACTAATGTTTAAAAGAAAAAGTATTCTGACTTTTCTTAATAGCAGTGTGATGTTTACTAGAAGAATTGTAAGTGTTTGGTCTCCTTATCATCGCATAGCCAATCATAAATCATGTTAAACCTCAGAGAGCGAGTCTTAGTCAAGTATTCGGATCATAAGTTTGCTAGCTGTCTAACTTAAGTGGCAAAATAAAATGTAATAATGTCTGTGGCTTTTCTGATCCACGACCTTGACATTAATGGTCTTCAATTGTCCGCAAGGCTAACCACAGCAGCTTAGGCACACATTTAGAAAAGATATGGCTAGTTTGAGCATTAAAAGAGCAAATGTGCTGTACATTTGGGGTCTGTTTTAAACCTTACCCATGACAACATTTTAGCTCCCAAATTACAATTACACCTATCAAAATGTCAGTGTAAAACGTTTGTGTTTTACTCTCAATGTCAAGAGCTGAAACCAGACTGGATAAAGAATTGATGATACATTTGCAATACTGATTAGTAAGCAGATTATTGAAAATATCAAGAAATCTGCTGCAACTTATTTACATATCCCAACAGGTATACTTACCTAAAGAAGAAGAATCTTTGCGTTCGTGTTTAAATTAGATTAAACTTCATAACAACATTGCTACTCTTGCGCAGATATCACATGTTATAGATAGGAAATAATCATGAAGGATAAATTGCACTGTAGATTATATTCTACGTTTTTTTTCTTGCTTTTCCTCGTTTTTTTCTTACTGACTCTTATTGGTATGTCAGATTTTCTTCTTTAGCATCACCTATACATGTGTTGTAATGTTCATCTGTCACATGATATTTTCTGGCTCCCTGCTTCAAACTCTTTTAGGTTACATTCCCTAAAAACTGGGAGACATTTTCTGGTTGAAATGGTTTCAGCGGACAGCAATATGTGAAATTTGTCCAGACCAATCACATTTTAGACCCTCATGGGCACAATTTAAACAGCGTGCTTCCACTAGTTGACTTTTCTTCTCACATGTAATGTATTTTGACGACATGTTGTTCCTTCCCGGTGAAGTTGCAGCCTATCAGATTGCAAACTGTTGTGAGGTGACTTCCTGATTGGCTAGAAGCTCCTCTGACCTCGGATCAACGCTCCTGCCTCATGGGGTCAAACAACTCAAATACTTTGATTTTGAAAAGAGCCTAATGCCTTACCTTTTTCAAAGTGAGAACACATTGCAAAGTGCACTTAACCATCTAAATGTGTAATTTTCTAAAATGTATGCTTGGTTTTACAAAGACCTTACTATGCTTTACTTTGGTGCAATGTCTCTGAGCACATACACGTGTACATGTATCTGTTTTTTATTTCATTGCGCGGGTCATAACTCATTTTAAGTGCTGCAGACTTAATGTGTACAAAAATAAATGCCTAAATCAAACATGATTATGTCAAGAAAATACTCACTACAGTGCTTCACTTTTACTTTAAAACATATACGTTATGTTCTGTTGATTTGTACCACTAAATGCTGTATATGCACTGCTGAAATAATAAAATGTAGGTTTGTTTAAAAAGGTGAACTTTGTTATTCCTGCTTCTGAACATTGAGAGGAGAATTGGAAACAGACACTTTAAAGATGTCAACAGGTAAAGAGTGTTGACTTGTGTGTGAGCAGTGGTGGCATACATTTACTCAAGTACTGCACAATGTACTCATTAGCTTAAACAGGCCCTTTTATGCTTAACCATGTGTCTCCAAATGTGGTGATTTTTACGGTGGCCCTGAAGTGCAAGACACCACAGCATTTCACAAAACACAACAGCATTTCAGGAAACACAACAGCATTTCACAAAACGCCACAGCATTTCACAAAACACAACAGCATTTCAGGAAACACCACATCATTTCACAAAACATCACAGTATTTCAGGAAACACCACAGCATTTCAGGAAACACCACAGCATTTCACAAAACGCCACAGCATTTCACATTGGACGGAAAGGGTATTCCTTTAGGGAGAACACTTCTTGTTTATGATTGGACAGAGCCAGCCAGAGAAGCACTGCTGTGATTGGTTGTTTTTGCTGCCAGTCAAGAAATGACGCTCCAATCATAAACAAGCTAGAGTGATGACACTCACTCTGCACATGCGCAGTTAGATGGTAAGATCGCCGAAATAAAAAGGAGCCACGTTTGAATATCTCACGTAAGTTATAAGCAAAAGTGTGTTTCTGAGGTCAAATATTAACTAAAATGATATGATGTATTTTTTG